AAAAAAAAAAAAAAACCCTTCTGCTGTTCAAGCTTTTTTGCTTTAAATATTGTGATGCAAGATGCATGGTAGAAAACAGTTTGGGGTTGTTTTACTTTAAAGAAAATCATTAATATTGTAGCTCCACTGCCCATTAATTGCTAACAAGAAAGGAAAAAGAACAACAGCAAGTCCAAGCAAAGTGTGAAAGCTAAATGGTCTAAATTCTGTTTCAGGATGCCTGCTCCTCAGCTTAGAAGAGCAAAACTGAGTCAAAAGTATAGTCAGTGCTATATAAGGAATCAAAATCTGGTGCAGTTGAACCTCCTAATATGTCGATTCCCTCAAAGCCAACAGGAGCCCTACGTACAGAACAATTTGGCCAAAAAGAAATAAAACCTACTTTAGGGACAGTTGGAAGACAGGTGAAAACAGGTTTTTGGCTTTTCAATTTCAGATGGACGAGCACACAGATTACAAATGAAATGTGAATTAAAATTATTCTTACCCATAATATGACCACATGAAAATGTTCCAAATCATTTCATAGATAAATATGATGGAATGCCAGCAAGCTATAAGGCTGTGAGAGCAAAATCCTGATGTTTCTCAGAGAATGTCAAAGATACACTGAGCAAAGTTGGCTAAAAGGCCCTAAGAGCAAAACAGAAATGTGCTCCAATGGTCTGCCTGCTTCACTACTTTAGAGACGCTATATGAAATATTTGAGGCAGGTTCAGTTTGCTCAGTTTTACTTGTCTAAACAGGATTTTCCTTTCACAGTAAGTATTTAAAGTTCAACTCACCGTCTGCAAACATAAGAAAGCAGCAAGAAAAGAACATACAAAAGACAAAAAAACAAAAAAAGTCAAAGCAATTATGGACAAAAATAAAAAAATAAAATATGCAATTTCTAACCTCTGATGAGAAATGTTTAAGGTTTAATAAAATAAATAACTGGTCAATAAAACTTTATGGCAGAAAACTTAAGTAGCTGCATTTATACAGACAATGAATGAAATTAACAATAATATGAAATCTATATAGTCAGACTGATGTTGAAAGCAGTCTTTAAAATAAAAACAGACATATTAAACATTTAGCCTTAAAAGTTGGTACAACATGTCTCTGAAAAGTGAAGAAATGTGTAAACAAAGGCCTCTGTAGAGCCGGGACAGAGCCATACCTTTAAGTGCAATGACCTTGCTGGCGGGATTCATGATGGCGCTGTCGGCTGAGATGGGTCTCCGGATGGGAGTGTTGGGGTCGGCCATGTCGATGATCACAACTTGAGCCTGCTCCCCCACTTTTTCACGGACACAGATGAATTTGTCAGACTCCATGGTCAAGGTGCTGAAGCCTATGTTGGCCGGATTGATCCCCAGATTTTGGAGCTGGGGAAGACATGAAAAAGACAGAAGACGTGTCAGAGTGAACTGAAAACAGACTACAAGCACCTATAGCTTACCTGGCAGAAAGATGTATACTTGGTATACATCCAAAAAAAACTTTACTGTTACACCTAACGAGTCAACTTAAATTGATTTTGGACTCCTGCCGGAAAGGAGGATGATAGTTTACCTGGAGAAAAAAGGATGTTCCCTCAATACGTATGTGGATAAAGGAAATGGCATCTTGCATTATGTTGGAAAGGCTGACTTGTAACCAGGGGAAGGGCTGCAGAGTTTAAGACTAGATTGAATTTGTTAATATAGTTTTAAACAACTCAAAACTGCTGCGTTGATATTCGTTCTTGAATGTTTGTGTTTTATTAAGTTTTATTTAATTTGTTAAATGTGTGAAGTATATGACTGTTTTTTTTATGAATGTTATTGTTTTGATTATAGAAACAAACAAAAAAACATTTTTTGGAAGATCTAGACACAATATAACCAAATCCAAGTAAAGAACATTCCTTATTTCCGATATCGTGACCTAATTTACATAAAAGTGGATGGAAGAACCCAAAACAGATGGGATCAACAGTAAAGCCTCTTTCCCACTAAAACTGATTTTTTAAATACGGGTTGACCAACTTACAATCGGCCTGTGGTTCCCTTCCCATTGGCAAGCTGGGCCTGAACCCTTGCTGATCGAGGTCATGCAGACCTCTGATCCCCCCCACTGCCGCGTGTCTAGTGACACCATCATGCTGGGTTAAGCGTTGACGATGTCTTCAGTGCGACAGAAATCAGAAACAGACAACAATGGAGAGCAATATGGAAGGCAGCCAGGGTGACGCAAGTGTGCTTTATGTTTGGCTCTTCTGCCCGTCAGAATCCCCTCTTATAAACGCTGGGCCATGTTTATCAAATGCAACAAGATTTAAAACCTCAGCTTGAATCTTGCAATGAACCCTCATTTTACCCTATAATTATAGTCGAGGAATGTCCATCCCCACCAACAAACCCCTCTTTCCCTTGTAGGCAGTCGGTGTATTGATTACATCCCAATAATTTTGTAAATAATGCAGATCACAACAGAACTAAATAACTAAGCCCTTTCCTTTAATGTGATTTCTTAGAACACCCCCATTTCTGATCAACTGTGTCATCCCTCTGCACCACTTCCAGCAGCCTTCTGCCCCAACACACCTGGCGAGTAAAAGTGCTTTTTGGAAGCTAGTTACAGACTATAAAGGCTTAAAATTTGGATTTTAGCATGTTTGCCCAGATGCTACTTTGGTCTAAAGCTCGTGATTTCCCTTTAGATTAACTGAGATTGAGAGATATCAAATTAAGCTGTACGCTCTGCAGAAAATGTTCAATTCAAATTATTCCTTTAAACTGTTATGTGGTTTTTAAACAAAATGCATAACAATACCTTCTCTTTTTAAATATTGCATTTAAGAAATGTGTACACTGCCGTTAAACAACTATTTACTGTTATGAAGAACGAAAAAAAAAATGTATAAAACATCTACTCTGCAGACCTAATATACAAGCACAAAAAAAAAAAAAAAAAAAAGTCTTTGCTTTTTATGTTTTCCTTTCTAATGAACTGTTGATGACATCAATGACATGATTTAAAACTGGGAGGAAATGAAACTACCTAACAAAAAAAAAAACACGCTTCCCTCCATGTTGTGTTGTTGCAACTTCCTCTAGTTTTGCAACTCATGAATAATTGCCCACATTTGTACTACTTCTCATCAATGTTTCTAAAGCAATTAGAAGAATCTGTTCAGCATTTGGGGAAAATCATCTTTGGTCAATTTTTAATAGGGTAGAGGAGTAGATTTATTTTAGACAGTTTTAGCCTCCAGGCATTAATCCAAATCTATCCAATTTAAAACAGACAAGTGTCCTCATTCCAGCTGATAAATTGCTATCATTCAAAGCTAATCAGCAGACACTTTTCCAAGAATTACTAAGCAGAATGGTGACTGCGTTTATCAATGAAGGGTTACACCCTCCCACAGCCCTGCCCCACCCAGCTTACCAACAGAGGAGCCAGGCTTTCTCACAATGACACTACAGCAGTGATGAACTGAAAAATAATCTGAAGCAGAACCTTTTTCCACATATACTTTCAATAACACCAGCCTTTATTGACTCATGCTGGGGGATAACTTCATGCAAATCTTGTGTGCCATTTTAACATCATCCAAGTTCATAGCTTCAAATAATTTCACTGAACTCAGCAAATCACAATGAGATACTGTATGTTCAGTACAAGAGGAATTCTGGGAACTTCTGAAAAAAATAAAAGTTTATTAGGCTTCCATTTCATAAAGTCACCTAGAACAAGAGTAGATGGAAGTCCCTTCATTTAAAAACACTTAAAGTAGGAACAGCCTGCACAGTAATATCACAATGAATGAAAAAAAAAAAAAAGTACGCAGATGGGAAACTAAGAAGAGCATGGTTTAGTCTAGCTGGTTGGTTTCCTTTGAAAACAATTCAGTAAACCACTGCAGTCTAAAACAGCTGTGACATCAATAAACAGGAATTTGGGGGAAAGCAGGTCAGACCTGTGGAGCTACAGCTAATGTGGAAAACCCATCTAGACAGCCAGTCTAGCCTGACTTTGCCTCCCCCACAGCTGCTTTTAGCTTCGGTAAGTAAAGTTATTAAGGCGAGGATTAATGAAAAATGCATTAGAAGTTAATTAAGATGATTAAAACATGGAGGGGGAAAAGAAAGCTAGTTTTGGACAACCGTTTTAGATAAGCCAGAAAAAATAAAATAAATGAACTGAGCCTGGTCTGCAATAATTAATACAAATAACTATGTATGATAATTTCTTCTGTAAAAAATGCTAAAACAGGAAATGCATTTTTATTCTTCCATGTCATTTTATAAAAAGCAATACTTTGAACTATCACAGTATATTATATAGAGGCTAGGCCATTAATTACAGTTGCAATATACCTACATTTTTAAACAGTCCTAGAACTCTGGTTTGGTCACATTCAATTTAACAGAAGACTACAAAGAGTTTTCCTTCCAGCCCCTTAGGTGGCGATAACGTGCTTGAATTTGGTTTTCTGCCATACAGAAGGGAGGAGACACAGCATCAGCTAGCTCGCAAATCACCAGAAGGAAGCACTTGTCATGCAACAAAAAAACTCCTCCGAGAATGGATTCTGGACATGAAGGCTTTCAAGGTGAGGAAAACGATGAAACCCTGGCGTGAAAAAAAATAATTAAAAAATCTACATCTTGTGGTTTTGACTGCTGAGCAATACACATTTAAAATCCCTCCTTCACAGCAGAACAACTATTAAACTAATATATAAATTACAACGACTTGTAATATAAATAGCTTTTTGATTCCGCTTGCCCTTTACCAGCTTTTCTGCAAAAGATAGTCATCCCTGATTAAATGACAATCTGATAAACAAAAACAGGAAATGAGAAGAAAAAAAAAATAAAAAATCATGCATTTCTACAAAATATGTGTAACTTCTTGGATTTATGTGAATACATTGCTAAATGGGAGGCTGCCAATTACTGGGCAAGGCAGGACCGAAAATCGAACCTCAGGTTAACACTTATTTAAGGCTATTGTATAAACCAAAAAAAGCTTTCAAATCTTATGACATCTTGTTACTTTTAAAAATTCATTTCTACAGTTTTTGACAACGCTTCAGAGTCATGTCTTTTCTATATAGACAAACGTGCCTTTTTATTCTCGGGTCGGCAGCAGCCGATACATGCGGGCATTTGTCTGTTCATTAGTGCATTCAGCAGCCATGCATTTCCACTCCCTCTATTTACTATCTATGAATGTTTCGTTAAGATTTTTTTTTTTTTTTTTTTTAAGTAAAGGCAGCTTTTCCCAAAAATTTCACAATTGTATTTTTTATGTAAGCAAAGCAACCAAGACGGCCAATATTATAGAAAAACAGACACTTGTCGTCATCAAAGAACCAAAGTGTTTCGTTTCAACTATTTTTTTCCAAACACTAACATTCCTTAGGGCATATATTTTAACTTGAAATTCACACTTAAATTCAGCATTACTATACCTAAATATTGCACTATACTTGCTTACCATTTAATTGCAGGGTGCTGCAGTGTCTCATAACTGTTCACTGCCAGCATCTAGCTGAAGGTACTGTAATGTTTGAGAACGATGCCAATGATAGCATTAGCTCACTTCCTGTTAATTTAGATAATTTTTTCTATTTTGGTTCCAGTCAACTATACTGATAAAATAAAACGTTTTTGAAGTCATGAATCCCTCCGATACATTTCTGCATAAATTTGGAATCCAATTTTAAAAATAAGACCACCCTTTAAAGCAGGTATCCCCAAAGTCGGTCCTCGAGGGCCGTTGTCCTGCAGGTTTTAGAGGTTTCCCTCCTCCAGCACAGCTGATTTATATTGATAGTTGATTAGCAGGCTTTTGGTGAACTGCAATCACCAGAATCAGCTGTGCTAAGACAGAGAAACCTCTAAAACCTGCAGGACAGCGGCCCTCGAGGACCGACTTTGGGGATGCCTGCTTTAAAGGCTCCATTAGATAACAATGGCTATTGGTCTCCTGTTTATTGTAGACCTTATTGCACAGATTTTTTTTAACACCTGAAATGTGTACTTTATTCAAGGCTATGGTTATTTCTGAAGCTTCATAGATAGCAGGATGCCAATAAACCACAGAGTCCTGACACTTGGGTCAGAAAACCGAGTTCAAGTTCCAACTGACAAGTTGGTACAGCTTTCATCTGGAAAAACCATAGCTGTTTATTTTTAGCAAAAACATGGCATCAGTACTTAAGTTTTAAAGCCTTTTTTTTTTGTATCATCCAGTAAATAAAAAAACAAAAAATTAGCTGATCCAACAAACATTTATGAACATGGCAAAGAAAACAATCTGTGCCCTCTCTTGTTATCAGAGAAAATTTGCAGAGCCAAACTACAAACATTCCTGACCTCCATGTCTGATGTGGAGTAAGAAATAAACCTTTCTCAGACAAACTGGGAGTTGAAATCACAATATAGAAAAACAGCAATGTCAATTAAACTGATCTTCTCCATCAAACGGACCATCACACCCACTCAGTTTTGTATTAAGTCCCACACTCTCCTCAGATAATAAAAGTAACTGGTAAATAGGTTTGATAAATCCAGGAGATTCATTGAGATCCATTAAGGTTAGTATGTGGAATATGGCCTCTGGCACATTAGTAGGAATACATTTCTGAAATTAGTGCATCATCTGTTCTTTTTTTTAGGTTATCGGTTACAACACTGATTTATCCATTTTGTCCACTTAAATACATTTCTGTACTATTAACAAATTTAAAAAAAACATACAAGTGATGTGTCACATCTCAACTTAAAAACCTCACAATCATGCTACTCATTACAGTGGAAAAAAAATCTCTAATCTGTGCAAATAGTAAAACCATTGCTACGTTTAAAAAAAATAAAAAAAATAAAAAAAATTAACAACTAACAGCTCCTGGGAGAACTGTAGTCAAGCAACTATTGGTTAACAGGACCTTTTTTACTAGTCTGTTTAATAGAAATATACTCCTGCTCAGCAGAGGTAGAAAAAAATTATTTAGATCCCACACATTAAGTTCAAAGTAGATCAGGAACAATATTCTGTGCAATGTGCTGAGGCTTGCAGCAGTTCACTGCAATGCACTACAACAGGAAGCTAGGGATCCATTGTGTATAGGGACCAAAAAACGCATATAGTACTGCCTTCTCCACTAAGGGCTTGGCCCAGCCACAATCTAAAAAGTGAAGAGCTGCCTTCAGTGTCCGAAATCAAGTGACACGTAGGAAGGAAAAACAGATGCTTTCAACTCCACTTAATGTCAGTCTTAGTGAGGTGGTATGAAAAAAAGAGCCATTTCCTTTATCTCCGACAACTCCAGGATCTTGGCTGTCCTGCAGAATGTCAAGTGTTTAGCAACTCAGCATCCTTGCCTGTCTGTCACGAGTTATCAGCTGGTCATTCACACGCATTGTTCAAAGTTCAACATAGACATCTTGTAATGAGACATAAAAGCTTTGCAAAATCAACATTCCACCTTTTGGGTTAACACCAACAAAGTTCAAGCAACGGGTTGGATTTTCAATTAGACATCCATGGAAATAGTCAACTCCTGTTGTCTCCTTATGTTATGTGTAAATAAAGCCAACTTTTGTAAACAGAACAAATTACTGTGTGTACTTGCAAACCTTGATGTAAGCAAAGAAAAATAATGATAATGCACATAGTAATTATGTGCCTCTCTATGTGAGAACTACACAGAAATAATGCCTAATGTATACAAAGCAACCTAATATGGTTTTAATTCAGTAAAAGTTGGCTGTTCAAATACTGGTTAGTAAATACCTATAACATGCAAGTCTTAAAAACTGCATTTTTTTTCACTGGAAAAATGGAATTAACTCATGTTTGCAGAGATTTAAAAGGAAAAACCTGAAAAAAAAAAAACACTGAAAATAAGTCCCAAGTTTACACCGACTCCTACCAAGAGCCAAACAGAAGCAGTCATTTAACGCAACATTCTCCCTAATTTTCCTAACATTCAGTAGCATTTTAAACCAGACCTGGCAGCCTTCCAAAGAATCTTATCATTATGAGAAAAATAAAAAATAAACCATCTTTTGAGCAGCATGAGGCTCAGATGCAACCAATTAAAACGACAAAAGATCAATTAAATGTCTTTAAACTTCAGTCTATCGTATACTATATAAATGGATGATGTATAAAAATGCAAGCTTTGCATGTTAACCGGATGACAAAAGGCACATGCTTGCTGAGTTTGAAGGAGAGTAACAGAAGGCAGGAAACAGGAGATAAAGAGTCGCCAAAGAATAACAGTTTTTGCTGACTGAGACTTTATGAACTAAAGCTAAGAAATCAACATTCTGCCTAATATACCCATGATCTCCTTGAAAATGGCTCAGAAGTAATCATGGAGAAGAGTGATTGAATAGAGCACAATCACATTTTAAATCCAAAACAGGGAAAAGTCTATACATTAAGGAGCAAACATGATCAAAATCCACCTAACTTTTTCCTACAGTGGAAATCATCGTAACACTACATTAATCACATAAATTCAATGTGTGTGTGTGTGTGTGTGTGTCATTGGGCTTAACTTTGTTTTATTTTGTACTAAAAAAAAAGAAAAAAACAATTCACGGTAAGTAGAGAGCATTCTTTGTGCAGACAGGCAGAAAATAGGTAAAACTGATGGGTAGATATCACTTTCCTTTTACAGCACAATCAGTTACAATGATGGAATTTGAAAAGCGTATGATAAAACATCCATGTCCTGCATTAGTTCTAGCTATGAAAAATCTACCAGGAGCTGATTAACCACAGGGAAATACTTTGAGACCTGGAAATGATAAATCAGGGAACGCCTAAGTAAATCACACACTGGCAGTGAAGTAATCATAGGTAATGAATAATCTCTGAGTTCCAATTATAGTTTGGGAAAAAAAACATGAAACTAAGCTACTTCAAGTTTGATCTAATATTGATAAATTGAATCTAAAAGGAAACTAAAATACAAGCTTTACAACACAGAATCATTCAAAGGACACATGAGGGCAGGACAGCAGAATATTGAGATAAAAATGTTTGCTTAACCCTAAAGCACAATCTAAGCATAATGTTCTTATATGATAACTGCTTTGATTGTCGCCTGTAATCCAAGTGCTTTAACAAGAAGTCAAAAATATTTTCATAATTTCACTACAACTGAACACAAAAGATCTTTTACAGCTTTGTTAAGCCCAGCCTCAATACAACATCATGTGACAGGCCCACATATTAACTCATTGAATGCTGTTATGATAACACAAAGAAAATACTTTTCATCTGTATTCCTGTAGAAATGTTATCATTTTTTCAAAGCAACACATGCCTAACCACACCATCAAATTCACCTGCCTATCAGAGGAAACAAAGCAACACACAATTTAATTTACCACAGAAAATGTATGTAATGTAAAGGATCAGTTTGTGGAAATTATGAATATTTTAAGAGAGCTTTTGGTTTAAATTAAGAAAGCTTGGCCTAAAATAAAATACTGACCATGACCTCTTCTCAAGGATCAATGTCTGAAGCAGACAATTAAAAGAGAAGGGATATCATTAGTGCCTATAGTCCTGTTGATACTTCAGCTGAGAGCTCAATATTCTGATTATTATAAAGACAGTGAAATACATCTATAATAAGAGATTATCTTTGAGCCAAGAAGTAGACGCATGAATCCATAATCTTAATGTTTAGAAAAATAACATTTATTGAGTAGAAAAGCAGTTTAATTCAAAATGGAATCCTGCTGGAGCTGTCTATGAACCTGAGGGAGCATGGGCAAACCCATTCATCATTGAAGTGTAGTTATCAGACACCACATGACTCCAGAACAGGACAAGGTGGGATGCTTGGGAGGCACGAAATGTCCAAAGACAAATCATTATGAGCATTAAGTTCATTGCAATTGCCTTTCTACTACTGCAACATAGTTAACGAATGACAAGCAAACGTACAATCAGTTATTTCAAATAAGATCAGATGAAAGTCAATTATGCAATAATCATGTCCATAAATCTGGAATAGATTGATGATTGAAGGCATAACATGCTCTACACCATACACCAACAACTGACACCTCCCGACGATACCGTCAAGGACGAACATGGTTATAAAAACTAAAGAAACTTTTGAGCAAAGTTTTGGAGTTTCAAAATCTCGCTTTTTATAAGTATATGTCGTTAAACAAAAAAAGCATTTGGTAAAGTAACAGCAAGTGCGTCTAGTCAAAGTGTTAGCCAGCTGGCTAGATGCTAGTTCAGATAAACGTCATCCACCCTGTCAAGCTAGTTAGCATAGCTCCCGAAAGCTAACTTAGCCTGCTAGCAATCTCAAACTTCTATTCAGAAAGACTTTCAAACTAGTTTAAAAAGGTTATAAGCGAAAAAAAGAAAGACCAAATTCACTTAACAAGTTTATCATTCATTGTTTAGGCCACATACCTGCAGGTGCTCCTGAAAACGAATAGGTAGGATCTGAGCCATGGCGGTTCCCCTGTCACCCTCCTCCGAGTTTCTTCTAATGCTAACAAACTAAAGCTGCTTCTCACAGGTCCTAGCCGCTCAGCCAGGGAGCCTCTACTCTAAAGCCCACTTGTCAAATGATTTTAAAGGTTCCGCAGAGCGTGTTGTCGGTATGTTGGTACTTTTCATTCGTCCCGTCAGCTTTCGGTTGAGGTGTTTCCCCGGCTAATTACCGACTGCCACTACACCGACTCCCTGGTCCTGCAATGGCGATGGAGGTTGGTCAGCACTTAAAACATCCCGGAAATGAAAGTGCAGTCGATGATGCGGATGAATACCTTGTCACATTTCTTTAAAAAAGTGAATAACATTAAAAATGTGTTATATTCGAAACCACTTGTTGTATATAGCTAATGAAAATATCGGCGAGTTAAAGTCTAAATCAGAATGTCTTGGCTTTATTACTTTAGTCTGTGATTAGAGATGTAAGAACGGAACTACTTCTTTCCACTCGCCCTTTGATTTTTGCCACATCATTCGTCTTTGTAAATTAACGTCATTACTACGCGGTGTGTACGGATCTCAGCCAATCAAATCACTCAGGTCCAAACAAGATGTTCAACTTTTTTTTTTTTTTTGAAACGCGTAATTAGCCAACATTTTTTGAAATTGCACACTACTGGTTTAAGAATATTACACGTCACATATTAATACATTTGTCCTGTGTTACTTATTTTGGAGAACATATTTGCTAACATGGTCCAACTCTTCATTAACAAATGAAGAAAATAATTGGTAAAACACAAAAAAACATTAAAAAAAGAAAATAAAAAATATTTATATATATATTTCAATATATATATATATATATATATATATATTTTAGGGCCTTAAAAATGGATTCATATTTCCTTCTCAAAAAAGTTTGGCCAGGATGTTGAATATTTGAACTCAAACATCCTATACTAAGTGGAGTAAGACTAGTATCTATTTCCCTTTTTTAACATCCACAATTTCTGCTGGCAAAGGATGTGACATTATTACTCAATGTATAACTGTCCACTGAAACCAATTTGTAAAGATCTTATTTTGCTGAGCCAGCGATCATGGCTTCTTAAAAAGTAGGGTTCACTGAAAGTGAATATACATTCCTTAAAACTTGTCATAGTATTTGTCAACCACATACAACTGTGTGTGGTTAACAAATATCATCACATGCCATATGGTATTTTTTCACAGAAAGGTCAGAAAGGACTTAAGATGCAAATTCAATAAATGAAGCCTTTGAATTTTAAAATGATAATCAATAAGAAGCATTTCATTTTACATCTAATTTCCCCTTTAAACCAATCTAAGGCATAAAAAATGCCACTGCTAGGCCTCTGGTATCATAGAGGCTATAGGCCCAGTTTTTCTTTTTTTGGGGCCATTCCTGAAGCCCATATAGCTTTCTTGGCCCATTTACACAAAAATGAGACACTGACAAGAACTATTTATCAATTTGCAATTTAAACAACAAAAATAATGCCTTCACTAAAAAAATCAAATGAAACATTAATAATAGATAGTAAATAGAGGGATGGGGTCTGAATTTTCACAAATGTATATTTACTTTCCTTGTTTATCATTAACAAGCACAATAATGGATTTACTGTGATGGGTTTAAAATCTCTACATCTATTTTTTCAAGATTTGAGAATAGCTTACCAATGTACTCTGGAAGCATTGCTACTTGGTGTTGTTGCTTGTGAGTTTAACAAATTATGCTTGGCCCCATCTTCGCAACTCAACGAAATCTGTATCGAAAAGTTTTAGAGTTGTAATTTGGTTCCAATTTAGTGACTTCATGTGACTCTTGACACAATAACAAATGTATTAAAGCAGTTCTGCGTTTTAATGAAAACATTTGCCCCTTTGCAGTGTGTGAAGGGGCAACGTCCAGAAGACAAAGTGATGCAAAGGCACCATTTAATAACCTAAACCTTCTCTTTCAGTGTCAGCTCTTCACAATAAGCTGGAGCTGCACTAGTGTGATTAAAAACAAGACCCATCTTATATCAAGATCTTAGAGCTTCTTAACTTTGAGCAAATACTCATCATATTATACTGATCTAAACCATAAAACCAACAACAGAACCATGGTTAAAGATCTGCTCTACTATCCAAAGCCAAGCCAAAAGTCTTATCCCAAATCTGAGGTTCAACAATTGGTCTAACCTGAAGGAGTTAAGGAAGTAGGAACCATCCATAGTGGGAACACACTCTTTTTAAACCCTTTTAAAATGAGGGACCACCAATGATACTGAAGTTCTTCAGATGACATTAAAGAGGCGTACCAGCCATTACAAAAATGCAACTTTTTTACATGAAACCAATCGTCTACATTTCAATTTTTGTGCAGGATAACTGTTGAACTGTGAAAAAACTCTAATCAAGTCACAAATCAAGACTCTGCATCACACCGTAAACATTATACCTACTTGCACTATATGGCGAATCTTCAAAATAGCACTCAACTCAGTGTTTCTACTGCATTTTGAACCATATCTATTTATTTATTTTTGATCACTGCTGCACTTTATAAATGGAAATGTTCATTTCACTGCTAAGCTGATGCCAGTTCACTGTTATGAAAGCTGTATGTATCAGAATCTCGTTTTTTATAGACTCTGTGTATACAAAACGGCACAAAAGTTTGTCTAAGTCAAAGCATCCAGGATAATAAATAGGTCTTAAAATCACATCAAAGTTTCACAAATGATATACCAGTAGAAGATAAGCAGAGACTACACATTAAGAATTTTTGGCAGTCCCAGCATTTCTTTTCTAAAGACATCATAAAAATTATTTAGCTGATGTTAAGGCCTTGATGGAGTTGGTCGGCTAGATGTGCCATCCTCTTCCTTTGACATGGGAGCCGGCTTGGAGCTCATCTGTCTGGCTGTGTGTTTCCGGGACCAAATTTTGAGCTGGTTTACAATTGTCTTTTGTATCGCTGCTTCTTATTGTATCTCTGCTTCTGTCTCCTTGAACCCCAGTCGGCCTCAGCAGATGGGCGCTCACACTGAGCCTGGTTCTGCTGGAGGTTTCTTCCTGTTAAAAGGGACCTTTTCCTCTCCACTGTCGCTACAGGCATGCTTAGTGTGAGGGATTGGCTTCGAGTCAATGAGTCGAAGCAATCAACTGGTTTCCGTAGATAGAAAACTTAATCAATTTGACTGTATGATTTGGTTGAATATTAAAGTGCCTCGATATGACATGTGTTTGAATTGGCGCTATAGAAATAAACTGAACTGAATTGAATCGAAGGCAAAGGTGTAAAAATGTCTACATCTACAAATGGCAGATTTTGATCATCGAACTAAAGGACCCTCAACTCCTGCATTAAGAACATTCATTGTGACTCAACCGTTTCAATTTTTTTCCCCAAATCCCAAATAGACTCAAGCCAGTGTAATTCACCCAATCATCACCTGTGCATTAGCTTTTTATCCAGTCTGTTAAATGAGTGTGATTCAGAGGCAGCGTCCAGTGAAGGCTGCCCCAAATGGCCTATTCATGTTTCTGTTGCCATGGATTCACAGGCCAAGGAAACGGCAGACACAGGCACTTACAGAGAACCAATGTGTGTCACCTCTAATCTCTGTAGAGGGGAGGCCGCACCAACTTCCTCTGACAGGTTCTAACATCAATTTTAATCAAATTAGGGAGTCTGTTAAGACTACAGGCTCTGCTCTTACGGTCAGCCTTCAACCATGCTAGTATTTGAGAGATGAGCAAAAGATAGTGTGAATCATATACAGTAGTAACTATGCAGACTTTTGGCCGCCACAGCACGCCCCTGTAACTTGGCCAGGATTAAAGCACAGATGGGAGCTCTGCATCTTCCTTTGGCCAAGAGAATCTCACCAGGGATGACACTTGGGTCCAGAGCCAAGAATGAAAAAAAAGCCCTAAAGGGTCCTCTGTTCTCTGTTCCCTCTCCTTTCTCTCTCTTTTTTGCATCCTTTTGTTCCATCTTTAACAAGTTCTCGATAAGGAAAAAGTCCACCTTTTCCATTTTCTTTTTTTTTTTTATCATTCTGCAGATTGAAGTTAATATAGTGCCTGTTAGAAAGAAAAATGCCTTCTCCCTCGCACCACAGCTGGCATGCCTTAATGTCATTAAAGTCTGGTTGACTCTGAACTTTTTATATCTTAATGCGGAAAAAACTGAAGTGATGGTGTTTGGTCCCAGTAACCTTTGTGAATCTCCCCCCCGTTGAGTCTTTTCAAAGGTTTTTTTAAAGCCTGTCGTCTCAAACTTCGGTTTTAAGATGGACAGTGATTTTAAATTGGATCGGCAAATCAGCTGTGCAATAAAGTGCAGCTTTTATTATATCATGTCGGCCAAGGTCAAACCTTTTCTTGCACAGAAGCACTTTGAAACAGTAATCTATGCCTTTGTTACATCTCAGCTGTACTACTGTAATGAGGGGAGCCAGTCCTCCCTCGCACGTCTCCAGTTGGTGAAAATGCAGCCGCATGCCTTTTAACTTTAGTACGTCAGAGGGAGCACATGACTCCCATCCTGACCCACCTCCATTGGCTGCCGCTGCATTTAAGAGTTTGTTTTAAGATTATTCTATTTGTTTTTAAGCCTTTAAATGACTCGGCCCCTCCCTACCTCTCTGAGCTTCTCCACCCCTATGCTCCCACTCGGTGTCTCAGGTCAGCTGACCTGCTGCACCTGGAACGACTGAGATCCAAACAGAAGGCACAGATTTTTCAGTTGATGCTTCATATCTGTGGAATGAGCTCTCCCTCCTCATGAGACAATCCTCCTATCTGTCTATTTTTAAAACTCATTTTAAAACTAATTTTTATTCTTTGGCTTTTAACAAAGCATGATTCTCTGTTTTTGTTGTTTTTTTTGTTGTTTTCTTTTTATTTGGTTTTATTTGTTTTAATAATTCATCCATCCATCCATTTTCTGAAAAGCTTATCCTTACTGGGGTCAGGAGGGGTGCTGGTGCCTATCTCCGGCTGTCTACGGGCGAGAGGCGGGGTCCATCCTGGACAGGACGCCAGTCCATTGCAGGGCAACACAGAGACAAACAGGAAAAACAACCATTCACGCACACACCTAAGGAGAATGTAGAGAAGCCAATAAACCCAAAACTCGTTTTTTTGACTGATTGAGGAAGCCGGAGTACCCAGAGAGAACCCACAGATGCACAGGGAGAACATGCAAACTCCATGCAGAAAGACCCAGCGCCAAGAATCAAACCTGGAACCTTCTTGCTGCAAGGCAGCAGT